TTACTCTGCCAGGACCCAAAGACTGAGTTGCAGAGACACCAAGGCAGATGATGATGTAGGAAAAGAACAGAGAAGAGCAACTGGCAAGAGAAGGAGCCTCATATTCTTCCCTGCATTGTGGCTGAACCCTGTCACGGTACATTTATTAGGTTTTATCAGTTTTTATCTCAGTCCTTTCCTGTATCTTGGTTTCCTAATTGAAACCCAAGATGTGACTCCATCTGTTCATCTCAGCAGCCTCTACTGCTTCTCAGGGTGCAGTTCCATCATCAGCCTAATCCAATCTGTGCTACAAATCTTCCATGTCACTAGGTATGGAAGCTTCTTTTCCATTGGCTTCAGCAATTATGGAAACGTGCAGTGAACTGGGTAATTCAAAACTCACCCTCTCTTCCCACTCCCAAAGTAACTTTGAGTCAGAGCTGGATCACTGCATATCTGCAAGGCTGCAAAGTGTGGAGCAACAGAGTAAACATGCATGTAGGAACCACCCTTTATTTTCAGGAGTCCAGCCATTAAATCACATCCTCTGTCTCTTGGTACCTGGGAAATGCTAGCAGCTGAACACTATGGCAAACAGCTATATCACTGGGAAAGTTAGTCATGAAGAAGACAACCACAGTTTTCCAGTAAGAAATCACACTAGTAACACTGAGAACTACACAAAATCTCAGGGTTTTTTTTTTTATTTTGGCTCACCTTCCATCGAGGTCCAACCTTTATATGCATTGTTGTCTTCTTATCCCACAGAACTGTAATGTCCTGTTCTGGAAAGTGTATCACAGTATAATATCCAGCCTTCCAAAGCTGATAGTTAGATTTGTTTTCCTGTCCCCTCAATGTCTTCTGACAGAAATGAATACGTATTAAGATCTAATAAAGTAATTCTACTAAAGTATGCAGCCAATTAATTACAGTGTATGCTGAAGAATATTTTATCTTTAACATATAGCTGAATCAATAATATTACTAGAAATGTTGTTTAATACTTTGATATTTTGTCTTTTCAATCATTCTGATTGATTTTGTACTTTGGTTTCCCTTTCAAAACCAAGTAAACCAATAAATAAATGCCAATATGCTTCGAATGCTTGAGGCTTTTGAGCAGTCATCTTTGTAGACTAGAACTTGAAAAACAGAACTTGAAAAAAACAATGAAAAAATAAATTTTTTCCTGGGACCTGCTCTTTTATCTAGGCCTAAGCACTTGTACTATGTTAACTCAGACTGAGAGACTTTTTCCAAAAACATGCTCCTTTAGAGATGTAACTTTACAATGTTTATCTTAAAGGGCGACCCAAAAAGGAAAGAAAATAACTAACCTGCTTCTCAGAAGATTCACTAAAATAAATCTCAGTGTCTCCAACAGTGATGAAAAGATTCTTCGAGCAAACAATATCATTGTCAAAGCATTTTTTGTTCTGAGCAATTATAGATATATTTGAGTTATCTGTGCTCTGCAATATGAAGAAGAAATCATTTTAGTTATAGATTCTATTGCATTTCACTGCTGCAGATTTATTCCAGGCTTACCATCACAAAAAGATGAATAACTTAGTACTTACACATCTTTGAAATTAAATTTAAGAAAAGCTACCAAACAAGGAAATGCATTTTTAAATTCAAAGCTGAACCCACAGCCAACTCAAACTTTGGAGTAAAACACAAAGAACCATTACGTTCAGCTGTAAGTCCTCTTTTTGAGGACTTCACAACCTCAAAAGATCAACCTACCCCTAAAATAAGATTCTAGTTTAGGCTTTTAAAATGTGCTCATACATGGAATCCAGTATTTACTGCACAGTATGGTTGTCAAAATCAAGACGTGCTATAAAAAGAGCTTTATTTTTAAACCAAGGTACTTGAGATCAAGCTGCTTTCATATTTTTAAAACCAAGAAACCTACCATTCGTCAGCAGTAGATAGAACAATTTTTGTACCACCACCCATCAAAATTCACAAAACCATGAGTCATGCTCAATCTTATTGGAGGGGGCAAAGGTTTCTGCCAACATTTTTGTTTGTGCTTTTTTCTTTAACATTTAGAAGATTTGTCTACTCTGTTGTCTTTTGATTTGCTGGTGTTTTAGTACCCAAATTTCCAATTTACAGCCTTCCCAATTCCATATCTGTTTGCTTTCTGGCCTGTAAATTAATTTAGTTTTCTCAGCACATAAAAATCACTTTTGCACCTTGGCTCAACTTGTCTGTTTATTCACCTGCAGCTTCTGTGGTTCTTCTGTACTCTAAGGGGAAACATACATGCACTTTGTAATTCCCCATGCTAGGATTGGTACTAGAACAAAGGACATCAGCTGTATTTTCAGAGTTGATAAAACTACCACAAACAAAAATAAAGTTGAGTCACTCTTATTATTTCTTATTTTAGTTTGCCTTTCAATTCATTTCTGTACCAATTTTTGCAAGTCAACAAGAAGCCATAACTATAGAAAAGACTTGAGAGAGTTAACTTCATAACATTAATACAAGCCATTAACAGTGCTTCTGAATCCAGTTTACTTTTTGACCAAATTCAGTCTTACAGCCGTTACAAACCTGAGACAGATACGAAATAAAAATCTTGGAGGGGGCAAGCTATATATCTCACCCGCTGAGCCATCCAGTCTTACATGAGACACGTGAGTAGTGCTGGAAACAAAAAGATGTTTAAACTTTCTTTTACTCCCACCCTCCTTTAAACACTCTCTGAGACTACAACAAGCTGAAACTAATTGCAGGTGCTAACGGGCACAGTGGGCAAGACAGGAATGGTGGTATCAGCTGTTCCCCAGTCCTGGGAACTCCTCTTGGCTCCCAGCAATGCTCTTGGAGAGCTCCACTTGGCCACAATGGGAATGAACCCTTGCCTTGGTTTGTGCCCACAGCATCTCTCCCCTGAGCTTTGCTCCCTCCCTTGGCTGGTGTACCTCTCTCTTGGTCAGTGTACCCCTGAAAGGTGCTGGGTACATACTCCTAACTACTCCCTGCCTGTCACATTTGTACCCTTATTTTTCTGTGTTCTTCAGAATTCAAGAATAAAAAACCCTATCAGCAATTTTTCCTCACCAATGAGAAATACTGCATACAGAAAATATGGGAAGGACCTTTTTTTTTTCCTCCTTCATGAAAGTCATAGTGACCAAACTGTTTAAAGAACACTTTCAATCCAAAAAAAAAAACCCCACCCAACCCCAGATGATGGGAAGCATAGAGGTATTTTCATTGCCACACAGAGGAGGTGCTACAGCTTTGCTGCCCTTAGTCTAGCATGGTCCAGAAGCCAGAGGATGCTGCTACTTGGCATAGAAAACACTCTACAGCAAGCGTGAGCGAATGCCATGAACATAAGGTATGGGAGACTGCCTGCAAGCTTTATGTTACCCTAATGCCAGGGCTTAAGAAACAGGTGATATGTGTTAGCAATTAGCTTGAAAGACAACAGTGAAAGTGGGTAAAGTTAGCCACAAGCTGCTGGTGGTAAGGAGGGGATGTAGGAAATTGGCTCTTTGTGATTTAGCAGGGGAACTCAGTTTAAAAGTACTGAAAGCTTCAGGGTAAAGCAAAGTTCATCTTTTCCATTCTGTTTTAAAGTTGTTTTAGGTTGCACTCAGGATAAAATTGGTCACTACCTTTTTGGGAAATAAACTGTGTTTTAATTAAGCCGGGCTTGCTGCTGGAGTCAGTCCAGTAATTATTCCCCTCCAAGTCAGATAACAGTCCAGAGCATTTTTGGATTTATTGGAGGTGATATGGTAAATTAAAAAGGAGACAAACTCATTAGTTTGGTAGATAGGACGCAAGCTGATACGTTCTATGCTGGCCAAATGAAAAGTGAGCAAAGAAGCTACCTCCCCACCACGAGTCAGTTCAGAAGAGGACTTTGCTTGCAGTCTATGGGTCAGTTTGATGCCCAGGACATTGTGGGCTGTTTTCACCGCAGAGTTCATTCCTCTTCAGTTAGCTTAGCCTCAGCAAAAGGGGACACTCTGAGTTAATAGGGAAGCAATGTCTTTACTGTAAGAAAAGAGATGGGCGGCTTTATTTTAAATAAGGGTAGTTAATTCAGGCTAATTATCCCACAGTAAAAATACACCTTTTTTGGCAATGAAGGCAAGTTCTTGGAGCAGCAGCGGGTAGCTGTATTAGCTATGTTAATTGAGGCTGCTGCCTGTGCCTTCTGACAGTGCAGGCCAATCCCTTCAGCGGAACAGCATCAACATACTCAAGTCAGAAGTTTTGTGTATGGTTGGGATTTGAGCCAAGGGCAAAAGTTGAGTTACATTTCAAGTTAACTCTGCAGCAGAGAGAAGCCTGGAGACAGGGAGCGTTTTGCTGACCAAAGCCAGAACAGGGAGTCCTGAAGACCTGTGAAGTACTTCCTTACTTGTAGGACTGCATGCTGGTGTTAAATTACTAAAAATGATATAGGATGGAAATGCAGAGAGACAGCGGTGGTGGTTCAGTAGAGTTATGAGTAAACCAGACATTTAAGAAAAAGGGCTTTACATTAAATCCTGTGTCTTCTGTGCTTTCTCTCTTTCTAATTAAATCTTAGACCTAAACTCAAATATAAAAACACCATTATGGATTGTGTACCTCTTGTGACTCGAAACTTTCACGATAAGATTTGCTTTACGTACATACCCTTGCCATTCTCTCCATATTCCTCAATAAAAATTGAGTCCTCTCCCAGCCAAAATTCGAAGTTGAAGGACAGTTTCTATCATGGTCTTCAAATTATTCTGTAACTGCTGCATATGCAGCCTCTTCTTTCAGCAGGGAAGAAATAAAGTGCAGTTGAAACTTAGCGTTTAACTATTGCCAATGAAAAAGAAAGAACGGGGACTATTTAGATAAAGGGGGGGGATCATCTTTTAATGTTTGTATAAGACAGTGAGGTGTTGGGCAAATTTCGACAGCTCATAGAGACTGTGATAGTATAAATGATAGTGATTGAGTTCCATCTCTCTAATCTGCACTGGATCCACACAGGTATGAAAACAAACTTTTGTCACTACTGCTGGAAGAAATGTCTGAGTAGACACCAGGAGCAGGTCTAATGAATAACAAGGTGGGGTTTTTTGTTGTTTTTCTTTTTTTCCCTGCACAGTCTCTTTCCAAGGCAGAGTCACTCTTTACCTTTTTAGGTAAAATACAGCCAACAGGGGATGTACTACAGTTCATCATGTGAAACCTACTTACGCTGACAGAAACTAGAAATAAAATGGTTTTCCCACTGCAAGAGTATCTTCCCACGTAAATTACCATATCCAGCCTGTTCCAACTTAATATCAGTTTCTTTGTGATAACATGGAGTTGCCAAGCAACAGGGAAGACAGAGTCACAGCTCTGGGCAGTCAGTCAAAAGCTCATTGTCAGTCCCGCTTCTCAGGACATTCTTTTTCTAGACTTCACTGCACTTTTTTTCCATATTTTTTCCAAGCCGAAAAAGCAAAGCACTGCTTTCTTTTTTTTTTTTTTCCTTTTTTTTTTTTCCCCCCTTTTTTTTTTCAGTAGTGCTTGGGAATGCTGGGGTTTATTTTTGTTAGAAACTTTCTATTTCAATATCCCGTTAGAAATTTTCTATCGCTGTCAACCAATAACAAAACTGTGCAATGTGCTTACATAGTCAAAATGCAGCCTAGGAGAAGACAATTTAAAAGTGGCTGTGTTTATCTTCTTTGAAAGTTTTATTAAAATCTTTCTAACAGTTCAGTGTAAAGGCTCATTCTCTTCGATTCTTAATACCCTGATTTCTCCATATTTTTTTTTGCTATGTTCCCTACAATACCATGACTTGCAAGCTAGGGTGGCCATAAAAGCATCTAGGGACATACTGGGAACTGGCTAGAGGTAGATTAATCCTATTTTCCTTTTATTTTAATGAGTCTTTAGAGGTTTTCATATATAACCACACACACAAACAAATGCAAAAAGCTCTAAAATACTGAAAAAATATACAGTAGCTTAAAAAGTAGAATTTGCTTTCTCCTTCCTACATATTTTCAGAGAGGTACCATTAGCTCTGTTCAGACTTAACCTTTCAGGAAATTTTATAGAAACTCAGAATTAGTTTGGTGGTTGTTTATTGGGCTCTGAGTTTCTTCTGAAGGAACTTAGCATTTCAAACTATTACTTCTAGTGAGCATGATCCTAGGATAACTAAAGCATCTTAGCCCATATTTAGTGAGCATTTAGGCATAAATATTTAAGTGTTTTTGAAGAGCAGACACATGCCTTGGCACCAAACATGATCTTGCCTTGTTAGTTTCTTGTGCCATTTTACCAGGGGGGTTGATCTCCAGATAATCAGTGAAAGCACATTAATCATGCAAAACTCATTCACAATTTACACCAAGAAACATCTCCTGTTGGAAGGCTTCTTTCATTTTGCTGGTGTGATACTTTCTTCTGTACCATTTCAAATATATATATACACACACACACACATTCTGTG